AAAACCTCTGAGCAGAATGTTTTCAACATTGTCATCCTATTCAAAAGAAGCCAAATGAAAAAATTATTGTCTTTTTCGTCTTTGCTCTATTCTTGTTAACACAAGAATGAGTAAATAGGGGCAGCTGTAGACACTAATTTTTAATTTTCATTAAAATTAAAATTATTATTATTATTATTATTATTATTATTAAATAATTATAAGGCCCAAAATCGGGGTCTGATTATAATTCTAGGCCCAACCCAGATGGTCTAACAAGACCCAAACCCTAATACTAGGGTTTCTAATCGTATTTCCAACCGCCGTCTTAGACCAAGGTTATCAAGCTTTCAGCCACCTTTGCCACGCCACCTCCTCTGCCAGGTGCCTCATCCAGCCGCTGCCGACGTTCCACACTGCCACGACACCTCTTGGAAGTCTCTAGAAGCACCACTCCAACCGCCCACGTTGAAGGCTATGGTGAGTCACCACCATAGTTTGGTGACTCACCGAAAAAGAGCCCTTGTGACTGGTCCGAGCCCATCACCGGGGTGGCTATAAAAGCCACCACCACCTGCAAAGAACGAGAGAACACAACACAGACACGAGCAGAAAACAACACCGAACAGAAACAAAGCAAGAAATGAAAAGCAACGAGCAAAATAAAACCAGCAAGCAACCGTTCGAAAAACAAAGAAGAAAAGAAGAGGAGCTTACCATCAGAGATTTCAAACGACGACGGAAACCGTAGGGAACCAAAGGTAAAGCTCTCGGTTGATTGTAGATCTGGAGTTATCAAGTGACTTTTAAGGGTAAATAAGGTCGGATTTAGGTTGAGGGTCTGGGGAGCTTCGCTTTGGGGTATAAATTTGGTGGTCACCGGCGCCGACGATCGGCGCCGAAAAACGGTGGCCGGCCGAAATCCGGTGATAGAAGCTAGAGAAAGGGGAGAGCATTTTCATCTCTCTTTTTTAGAGAAAGTGAAAAAAAAAAGAAAAATGAAAGAAGATGGCCCCTAGGGCTGGCCATGAGGTGTTTATATACCCTTCTCAAACGACGTTGTTTTAGGGAGGGTATATACGTAATTTATGCGTAGGGGCAAACCCTTTTCGTAATACCTGTAGTTTTGTATTTTTGCATTTTAGTCACTTAAATCCAATTATGATAATTTTAATTCGGGTTTTTAATTTTAATTACTTTATAATTTAGTCACTACCATGCTTTTATATATTTTAAGTAAAATAATTGATTTAGTCCCTTATAATTTAATTAATTTTTATTTTAATCACTGATTAATAATTAAGGGTTAATTACACTATTAGTAATTATATTTTTATAATAATTCAAATTAGGCCATTAATTTATATATTTTACATTTTAATCCCTAATAGTTTGATATTTTTCATTTAATATATTTTGCATTTTAATTTTATAATTTTAATTTCTTTTATTTTGATCATTATTTATTTTCAATATTATTTTATTATTACTTTTTTATATATATTTAAATTATTACTTTCATTATTATTTTATTATTATCTTAGTCATATAAATATATATATATATATATTTATTTAAATAATAATATTTATTTTTTAAAAAATGGCAGTCTTAATATAACTATATATCCTATTCTAGTATTTTAAATAAATAAAAATTATAAAAATTATATATTTAATTTTATTATTTTTTAGGAAAAATTATCACATTTTCAATATTTATTTATTTTTTAATATTAAAGAAAGGGCGATCTTAAAATAACTAGACGTCATATTCTGGTATTTTAAAAATAAATAAATATCTTGCTTATATATATATATATATATATATATATATATTTACTTCATTTTTATTATTTTTAGGAAAAATATTATATTCTTATTAATATTTATTTATTATTATATTAAAGAAAATACAGTCTTAAAGCAACTAGATGTCCTTTTCTGATATTTTTAAATAAATAAATGTCCTATTTACAAAACCCTATATATATATATAATATTTTTTTAGAAATATCAGATTAAATTTTAAATAAAAAGATCATAAATTAAATTCATATTCGAATTCTTAAATTCTATTATTAGAGACAATTTATAATCAACATGGACCAATTTTGGGCGTTGTGGGGGTGTTAATCCTTCCCCAAACCTAACCGATCACGAATCCCTTTTTATTATTAAAAAGAACGAATTTTTGGTTAAACACAGACCATATTATCTTTTAACTGATGTTTTATTAAAAACTCTTTTAAAAGATGATTTTTAGGTATTCGACCTACCTGACCCAAAAAGCCGATGGCGACTCCCAAAACATTTCAATAAAAACCATTTATCCACATTATTTTTCCCGCCAAATAAAAAAATCGTACCCTGGTGAAAACCGATTACGACACTTTATAATATTTTTTATTGAATATAATAACATTTTAGATCAAAAGCATCTTAAATTAATTTTAGATTAACTTATCGTACAACAAAACTATCTACATTTTAAATTGTGCTACAATTGGATGTGGCGAGGTTGATAAGCTAGTCTAGATGGGATCCCCCGATGGATCATTTTCACCGAAAAATTACTGCATACAAGTTACTGATGGGGTAAATTATGATGCGTCACTCTGGAAGTTAGTTTGGGTTAACATTGCTCCGCCAAAGGTGGAGAGTTTTGTTTGGAGAGTTGTTAGATAGAGAATATGTTGAGTCAATCGAATGGATAAAATAGACAAGAGGGGGTAAATTGACAATTAAAAAATTTGGTAGAAGCTTGAGATAAAAAAAATAAAAATTGAACACAAAAATTTAGAGTGGTTCGACTTTATCAACCAAGGTCTACATCTATTACCTTAGCTATCCACACTAATGATTTCCACAAATTCACTAATTTGTATATACCTTTGAGGATAAGGTGTAACCTTACAACTCCCTCAAGAATTATACCACAAATTCTTGAGACACTCTCTCAAATAGAAAATTACAAATTGCAAACTTATAAAATCCTCACTAAGAATGTGTTTGCACAATTCAAGAACAAATAAGAACACTTGAGAAACAAATACAAATGAGTACAAGAAGTGTTATTTGAAAGCAAAAGGAATATTGAATAATGTTGACTTGATTTGGCTTAAATATGTTATTTTTTACTTTCTCTTTTGTTTATTGTCTTCACAAATGACTTGGAGTCTTGTTTTTATACTCCCTCAATCAATTCCAACCATTTGAGTTGTTGTGAGAGTGAAGAGAGTCGTTGGGAGGTAGTTTACCGCATTAAATGTTATCTAGAAGCTTGTAGTATCGATACTCGGTCTCTCAGTATCGATACTCCCTACATTTAATACAAAAATTTGACTGTTGGGAAACTCTAGTATAAATATTGTCACAAGGGTATTAGTACTACTATATTCAGTAGTATCGATATTGTATATAGTATCGGTACCATTTTAGTATACTGGAATTTGGACGGATTCAAAACTAAAAAGGTAATATCGGTACAACCACTAAGAGTATCGGCACTACTATACTAAGTAGTACGATATTGTATATAGTATAGGTACCATTTTAGAATTCTGTTTTGACACACTTGTATACAGTATCGGTACTACCTTAGCAATATCGATACTACTACATCATTTTGGGCTTCAGCATCGATATTTGTATTGATATCTTGAACAGTATCGGTACTATTCTAGTAGTATTGGTACTACTATGCTTAAAAATCATTTTTGACTCGATTGAAGTTCGAAACCCTTAGTAAAAATTATTTTAAAAATATTTTCAGTATATGACTCAATTTTTCAGTAGAGTGAGGAGTAAAATTGATCTTTTAACTTTAAAGAATAATTTATATATTCAAATGACTGAATCGAATATAATTTTAAAATTTGTAAAAACTATTTAGCAATTTTTGATATATCAAAATATCAAAGTGTTTTCAACATAATACATTCACTTGTTGAACTCTCTAAGAGGTGTGTTCCAAATTTAAACTCAAATCTTGTGTGTTTTGTCATAATGGAGTGGAAAGCGTAAATCATATTTTCCGCCATTGTTCGGCCATTTGGGGTATTTGGCAAAAGTGGTGTTGCGTCTGGAATATCTCGATGGTTATGCCTGGCAGTGTTAAGGAGTTGTTATTTCTTTGGGACTCATTGGTAAATAGGAAAGCTGTTAAATCTTTATGGAGGCTTTTTTTCGGTTCCATTTGGACCATTTGGACTTGTAGGAATGATTTTGTTTAATGGCAAAGGTTGGAGTGTAGAGCAAATTTCAGAGTTGATTTTGTTGAGAGTAGGTTACTGGTCCAAGTGTAAATGGCCACTATCAGCTCCTCATCCTTTTGATTTTGCTAGAAATCCGGTTGCAATACTCAAGCGTGCGTGTTAAGATACGTCCCAGGTTTGATTGTGTAGCTATGTTGATGTTTTTGGTTGTTGTTTTCTTTCTGTAAGATGGGGTTTATTGATTTTGTCAAGGAGGTATTGTGTGGTGTGGATGTGTTATGGCGACAGTGGAGTTCTACCGTAGTGGGGTTATGGATCTTGTAGTCTTGATTTTTCATTGGTTTTTTAATGACACCGAGTCGATGACCGTTTTGTATTAAATCCACTTCATTAAAAACAATCTTTTCAAAAAAAAAAAACTATCTACATTTTATTATTTTTACTGTTATTATAAGCTTGGTGGTGAGTAACGAGCAACATGCAGAAGTATGAATATTATAGTGTTGGAGAGCATGTGGAAGACAGAGACGGAACAGGGAAATAAGGTCGTTGGAATCATAAGAACCTTGGACGATGATAGTCTGACTCACAGGATTGATCAAAATCACACGCTCCCTTTCCCTCGCTAGACCTACCCATCGTTCTCAGAATTCTCCACTTCAGATGCCATTCCATCTCTAATACCTTGAAGCAACTGTAGAATCGTTGCAGAGCTTCTCCTCCTCTGAATGATGGAATCAAATTCTCGATTCAAATCAGTGCTACCTTCATTGCGAGCTTCGCCATTAGCATTACTGTTATTCTCTTTTTCAAAGTCGATATGGTCGAATCTTATACGACGTCAGGGATTACCAATCATACCTAACAAGATAGGCGCCCACAAGGAGCGTGCTCGATCGGATCCCATATCTGAATCCATGTCTTCATCGTCCCTTGTTGTATAACCGCTCATTTGTTCGATAAACCCACCTTGACAAAATGGGCATTTAATCTCGATTGCCACGATGGGAGTCACCACTTGAGAGCATTGGTAACACCAGTAATTTTCGGTCATAGCTTCCTCCTTTTTTAAGGCCTTTTATCCTCCTTCCTCTGTTGAATTTCTTTTTTTCTTCTTTCGTGTTTAGGGTTTCTGTCATAAGAAACAACATCAGATAACATTAAGAACACATGTCTCAATGATTAGATTTCATAGAGAAAAACATATCCCCATTTTTTTACCTCGTACCACCTTTTTTACTTGATTGTTGGTGGAAATGAACTTGGACAAGAAAGAACTCAAGGTAATACTAACTGCTGTGAAGAGAAAATGAGAAAAGTTTAAGAATTTGAGAAGGATGAGTTTGGAGAAAAAAAGAAGAGAAATGGTGAGTTGAAGAAGAGGATAAATAGATTAGGACCGGTCAAAATGATCTTACATTACCAAATAATAAAAAGCCAGACTAACATGTCACATCCATATTATTTTACTCTAGTAACTATGGCTAACGATTAAACGACTAATTTATTATAAATCAATAATGTTAGTGATTAATTTAACACTTTTAAGACTTTGATAGAGAAAATAAAAATTTACTAAAATATTAGTGACCATTTGTATAATTTACCATGTAAATTAAGGCCTTCATTCATTCATTCATTGAATTTAAAATAATGAAGCCAAGCCCGTCAAATGATGGGATAAGATATGTTGCAGTTGGAGAAATAGATCCATCAAAATGGGGCATTTTCATGTGATTACCCATTTGTCTAATAGTTTGGCAAGATCTCGAACCTAAATGTAAAGTCATTATCACTGTTTTTCTTTTCTTTAGAGACATGGATAGTTGCCCGACAAAGAAAGAAAGAACAAAAGCCAAACTACAAAGGCACATGATCAAATCAAAGAGGGGGGAAAAGGAGAGGCTACCCATGGAAATGGCCACTGAAACAGTCGAGGTAGAGTCAAAAGCTTTGATTCCCCATCACTTATTCAATTGCCGATTCAGATCCCACATCGACCATAAACTTTACTCTCTTTTGTTTTTACCTTCCTAGCTGCCATGGCGATAGATTTACCATACTAACCATCAAAATGATTGGACCAACCCTTCGATATCGGAAAATCAAACACAAAGCTAGCAGAAAATATAGACTGCTCCCAACACCGTTGAAAAATTTTATGGAGAGAGAAATTATGATGACCATCCACCATACATCCATCAATCAATCAATCCTTTCTTAAGAAATGGGATGGAACATGGAACCCCACATAGTGGGGAGGGACCTGCAATGTGTACTTATACAACACTTTCCACACATAATTAATGACCCTTCCTGTCAATTAATCATTCCACATTCTAGAGGGAAAAATGGGCAAAATTATATATATATATTATAAAAACAAAAAGGAGCAACAGTCTTTGCTAATGTACTATGGTTCATACACCATACCCTTCTCACATTGCTAACAATAACAAATTCAACAGTCAGGTGCTGCCACAACAAATATGAAACAAAGTGAAGGAAGAAAGAAAGAAAGCAGCAAAGAGAAGTGCATGCCTCACTAAGCTATAGATTAAACAACAATTTCAACCAAATGAGCAAACTTATCTTTTAGAGAGCGGAAAAATACTTCTTGGTTGCTTCAAATCTCCGATTTCTTCGATCATCTCTACATCAAAAGCTAAGGTGATCTTGACCCGGAAAACATGTATCATTGCCCCTCCATATAATAGTTCAATAACTCCCTCCTGCCTTCTCTTTCCGCTAACTTCAATTATTGAAATGAATATGAAAACAAAAATAAACATAAAATTTAAATGAGTACCGCTAGAACAACATCCGATGGTCTGATAACATACAGAGACATCCTTTTCAATCATTAATGCCCTCCTCTAAAGTTCCTGAAAAGAACCCATGCAAAAATGAAAGTTCTCCCTCCCGGGGGATCTGATTCCAATGCAACCGTAGCAACCCAAGCCTGAAGCAGAAGTTATTTACTTAACTTTGCTTGGCTGGGTTTACTGGAATACACGGGGTTATCTAAAAGATGTCTGCAATATTAATATTCCCCGTGAAACAGATCAAACTTGTTTCTTTATCTATCATGAGAACACTTGAAACAGCTTCCTGGACTGTGTTTACCTACAAGATGGTGACGAATTTCGGTGCATCAGTTCTTGGCCCTTCAAGAGACCGATACATGTATAATATTTCAACAGCATCATCCATCTCCTCCTCATCAGCAGACCTAATCACTTCAACTACTAGGCGAGGCATAGAACGAGCAATCTCCTGGCAACCATGGCGAGTTAGCCTACATGAGGACATCCAAAGAAACCTCATGTGTAGTAGTGATGCAAACCGGAACGCAGAGCTGCATCTCCAAATGGGCTATCTCTAATCTCAAGCTTCTGCAATCGTGGACAGCCCTCAAGCACATATTTAAGGCCCATGTCACTGTCTCCAGCAAAAGCCACCGACAACGTGCGTACCAATTTCCCATGCCGTCCAATGTAGTCAAAAGCTTTATCCGTCAGTAATCCGGATACAGCAAGGCGAGTGAGCTTCTTGCAGTTCATAACAATGGCACCAAAACCATCATCCATGGGTTCTCCAGTCACATGATCATCCCTGTGGCGCCCCATTATGCATAGCCGGAAAACAACAAGATCTGGACAGTTCTTGGACATTGCTATCACAGCTGCATTAGTCATCCGCTGGCAAAAATACAGAATAGATTGCAATTTCCGGCAGCCTTCTGAAATAGCTTGGAGGCCAACTTCAGAAACTGGGCCATCACTATCCTCTCGAGCATCAACAGGAAAAACCCGAAGCTCACGTAATTCCTTGCATGTCACAGCCACTGCTTGAAGTCCTTCATCACATATTGAATCATGAACCTGTACAATGAAAGCTAAGGTCAACTTCAAAGACCTAATTTCTTCAAAAAGCTTATATAATAAAATATTGATGTCGTACCCAGAAAATCTGGAGCTTGTGGCACTTGCGTATAATTGGTTTAAGTTGTTCTGCAGTGATGTTAGCATAGCTGAAATTCAGAGATGTTAGATTTTCACAAACAGGGAATATTGCAGGCAGATAATCCGGAATTATTTCCCTAAACCCAGAGAGACAAACTAAGGATTTGCAGGCAGCAAAAGCATTCACATAATCTGGTTCTTGATCATCTTGCCCTGCAATCTCTGAAGGGCTAAAGGACCCTGTCCCAAGGTGTGTGAGCTGTGGAGCTCGAATCATCAGGCGATATAGCTGCTCAATTGAAACATATCGATTTAATCTAAGCTTCTTAAGTGAAGGAGACCTAGCCACCAGCCTTTCCAAAGCCTCGAAATTTATATGGCATTCCACACAATCAAAAATCAAGGACTCAAGATGCGATTCACCCTCAGGAAAACAGGATATCCAATCTGACTCATCATCTGAAACCTCGGATTCGATCAGATCAAGCACCTTAAGCTGTCTGCAATTATAGAAACACATCAATCAACTACCCATACCCTACCCTCAAACTCTCCTATCATCCATTTATAGGACACATTCCATAAATTCAAAACATTTTCACATCCCAGATCAAGGAACACCATAAATAGATTTTAAAACATTCAATCTATAAACACAACGAACAGATCAAAATTATGTTAATACAGCAACAAATTTTTCTCAACTCCATACTAAATAAACCAATTACTATTACTCTTTAACACCAAAAACAGATCTAATCAGGTAGTTATTAGTAAAAAAATAAGCGTTATCAACAACAAAAAAGAATACCTGCACTTGTTGACGAAAATAGCAAGGCCACTAGTTCCAAACCCATCACAGCAAACGAGGACTAGCTCCTTAAACCCTAAAAACAACTCGGCCAGTGTTGCCAGATCATCATCCGTCACGGACATGCGCTTTAGATGAACTTTTTCCAGCCAAGGGTAAGCCTTGGCCATCGCCAGCGCCCAGGGATTGAAGTGCGCCCCCCAATCAGGCGGCATTAGGTTAAAGTCCGCGAACCTGGGCTTCCCTTTCAGGTGAAGATCCCTCACCCTGGCGAACCTGGCCGTGGCCCGAGCCGGTGAAACCGCATAGCAGTTCCCAATGAATAGCTCGGATCGAGTCAGCGCCTCGACCCGGTACCAGGACTTGCAAACCAATGAAGCGGCGTTTCGGTCCCGCTTCGACGTCAGGAAGTGGAGCACGTTCTCCAACACGTTTTCCAGAACCTGGTCTGGGTACGCCGACTGGAATTCCGGGTGACCCGAGCCAGATCCAGTGGCGTTGCAGTTCCGCGCCTTGTTGGAAACGAACTCAAGATCCGACGGCGGACACTGCTGCCTCTCGTCGTCCTCAGACATTCTGTTCCGCTCTGTTGTCTCACACGACAGACTAGCGAAAGAAGGAGATTTTGGAGAACACGCGCTACCTTATAATCTTAAAGACAATCTTCCCTTACTCTGTTTTGCTTTTCTCTTTCTTTGGGTTGAGTGATGAGATTGAGATTTGAGCTTAATAATGGGAACATGGATTCAATGTAAAGGAAAGCAGCAAATGAAAATACTAGACTAATATTATTTTAAAGTATTTTCTTTTGGGGTGTTCTTTATCTTTCTTCTGAACAATGGGATTAGCATGCCTCTTTCTCTCTCTGTTTCATCTGCAATATCCAATGTCTCTCCACAGTTATCCTCCATTATTTGGGGTTTTTATTTTCTTACAAGATTGTGTCTTTTTTTTATCTCTTATTTTTTTAATTAAAATAATTGTTGATTTTAGACGGCAGTAACTGCTGGTTAGTAATTATTTCTTTTGCCAACTTGTAAGAATTAGTTTGGGTTTTTGTTGGAGACAACCCTTGGTCTTTCATTTTATTTGTAAATCACCTCTTCTATTTCCTTTTCCATTTTTTCAGTTTTTTTCTTTTAAAAATGACAACTGGATTTTACTAATAAAAATAATATAAAGAATCAAAATTACAACGTACTCAAGCTTAAAAATTTGAAAACAATAGTCAGGAAAAAACTTGTGTAAAAAATAAAAATATTAAATTCAAAGATACGAAGAAAAATAAAATTTTTCATTGAGAATGACGAACATCAAAAGAACCCACTTACCTTCATAAAAATTCATTGTCTCTGTTGAACGAGACGTTTTACGAAGTGATAAAAGAGTTTTGAGCAAACCAAACTATCTGGCAAGCTGCTGCACTAGACAATTTTGATTATATTGACAAACAACCTTTTATCAAAGAGATGATATGATTATAGGTGACCATCGACAAACTAATCAAAAAACAACTATCGTGAGGGTCTTTGTGCGATCACCAAAACGACCTTAAATATATACAAAAAAGTACCAAAGCCATTAGGATTGTGCTAC